ATAGGGAGAGGCTGAATAGGCTGGAGCTATTTTCTCTGGAGCATCGGAGGCTGAGGGGTGTCCATACAGAAGTTTATAAAATCATGAAGGGCATGGACAGGGAAAAAAGACAAGGTCTTTTCCTCAGGCTGGGGGAGTCGAAAACTAGAAGGCATAGGGTTAAGGTGAGAGGGGAAAGATTTTAAAGGGACCTAAGGGACAACTTTTTCACACAGAAGATGGTGCATGTTTGGAATGAACTGCTAGAGGAAGTGGTGGAGACTGGTACAATTACAACATTTAAAAGACACCTAGATGGGTGTATGAATAGGAAGGGTTTTGAGGGATATGGATCAAATGGTGGCAAATAGGAGTAGATTAATTTAGGATATTTGGTCGGCATTGGTGAGTTGGTCCAAAGGGTTTGTTTCCATGCTATACATCTCTGTGACTCTATATCAGGTTTAACTTGGTGCAGAGTCGTCTCCCCATCAGCAACTCTGCTGGAGCTATTGCTGTTGTTCTTTGAGGGGCGGCCCTATAACTGAACAGCAACCAGGACAATTTGGTATGAAGTGACACTGTAGGCTGTTTTTTCAAGCCTGCCTTACATGTTTGCACTGCTGTTTCCACCAGACCATTGGACAATAGATGGTATGGAGCTGTCCTTATGTGTTGAATGCCGTTTGACCTGCTGGTAAATGACGTTCCGTTGTCCATGATCAGTACGTCAGGTGGTCTGTGTATTGCGAATGTTGCTCATAGATTTTCAATCGTCATCCCTGCATTTGCTGAACGAACTTTATGCATGCCCAACCACCTTGAATGGGCATCCACAATGACCAGGAATATTGAGCCCATGAAACGACCAGCATAGTTGATATGTAACAAAGTCCATGGTTTACCCGGTAATTGCCATGAATGTTAGGGCGCCACTGGTGGCAATTTTTGGCCTTGTTGGCACTCTGGGCATTGCCCCACCAATGCCGTTATGTTGGCATCCAACTCTGGCCACGAGACGTAGCTTCTGGTGGAGTTCGGCCAGTATCTGGCAGCAACCTTTACTCGAGACAGTCACTCTTTCTCCCCATAGTAATAGTTGTTTTCCATGGTGATTGTGGTCCCACTGGATCCAGAAAGGTTTCAATCTTGATTTCAATAGCCCTCTTGTTTTCCCCATTACCACCAGTGTTTGTTTTGCTAGGATAAGATCTCTTTGTGTCCACAGTTGTCGGAAGGGTGTCCAGGAAGTTTAAAACCAGAACAAACCCTTCTAGGGGAGCCAGCACCAGTGGAGTATCTGCCAATGAGAGGTGACTCAAGGCATCCGCATTAACCACTAAGCTTCCTGGATGCTGTTCTAACTTGTTTGTACTGAGAATAAGGGCCCACCGCTAAATTCTACAGGAAGCTACGGGTGACACCACCTTGTCTTCGTTCAATAGCCCTAGCAGAGGTTTGTGATCTGTTACTAAGACAAATTCCCGTCCATAAAGGTACTGGTGGAACTTCCTCACACCAAAGATGACTGCCAAACCTTCCTTCTCTTTCTGGGCAGAATTGCTTTTGGCATCAGCCAATACCCAGGAAGCATATGCTATTGGGCGCTCCTCTGTTGGGCTGCCGGTGAGCCAACACTACATGGATACCGTACGGGGAGACATCGCATGTCAGCACCACCTCTTGCTTCGGAGTGTAGTGGGCCAACACCTTAGATGACAATAGCTGCTTTTTCACTTCCCTAAAGCTACTTCTTGGCTATGCAACCATTTGCAAGGCTGACCCTTTTTTAACAGCAGGTATAAGGGTGACAAGTTGGAGGCCAGGTTACCTATGAATTTTCTGTATTAATTCACCAACCTAAGCTCTGGTAAAAACACGGAAGCTGAGGCTCCTTTGATCACGTTCACTTTATATTCCAATGGGTGTAACCTGGTTTTGTCAACTCTGTAGCCCAAGTAGGTCACTTGGGGTACCTGGAACACACATTTTTCCCTTCTAAGGCATACGCCCGCCTCAGAAATATTTACGCACTATATCCAAGTCCTCCAAGCGCTCTTTATTGATCTTACCAGTTTTTAGTACGTCATCCAGATAAGTGGTAGCCCTTGTAAAATGTTCTGCATGGTCTGCTGGAAAAGGGCATAGGCTGACAATACCCAGAATAGCAGTCTCTTATATTGGTACAAACCTTTAGGGGTGTTAATTGTGGCACCCAGTCGCAATTGTGGGTAGATATGGCTCATGTACCAGTTTAATAAAAGAAACCCCCCCCTCAACCAACTTTGCATACAAGTCCTCTATGCAAGAGATTGAGTATTTTATCTACCTGTGAAAAGTGGTCTACCATTTGCTTAAGGTCCCACAAAGGTGAGCCAAGCCATCAGGCTTCATAATTGGTACGACCAGTGCTGCCCATTCTACAAACTGCACTGGATTGATGATTTCTTTGCTTTCCAGCCTCCTGATTTCTGCTTGTACTTTTGCCCACAAGGCAAATGGCACTGGGCGGGCCTTACAAAATTGCGGCTTTGCTTCCTGGTCAACATGTAAAGTGATTGTGGAGGTGCCGGTTTTGGACTGGAGTGGATAAGTTCAGAAGTCACACGACACCAGGTTATAGCCCAAAAGGTTAATTTGAAATCACACGCTTTTGGAGTGTAGCCCCTTCGTCAGGTGAAGTGACTCACTTGGTAACCTGGTGTCGTGTGACCTCTGAACATGTAAAATGGCTTTGGCCCCTTTTGAAAATCCCAACCCTTTCCTGGATATTTCACTAGGAGTTTACTGAGGCAGCCATTTTCAAATTGAAAAATGTTGAGCCAGTCTGGGTGAACCTTTCTCAACCAATTCCACCCCAATAGGCTTGGGCCTGGACCTCTTACTACCATTACTGGTAACTGCACCAAATGGTTCTCGTAGGAGACCTGAACCAAAGTTGTACTATCATTTGCAACGGTTCCCCAGTGTATGTTCTAAGTCTGGCTGAGGTCTTGCGCAAACCTGGAGTCATCAGCAAATCTTGTTTAAAGACAGGTTCTGTAACCACAAATACAGATGCACTGATATCAACCGCCATGAGAACTGGGTGACTATTTAACCAAGCATTATGCTCCTCTGATGCTGCTTGGCCTGCTGTGTTCATCCACCTTGTTATCTCATTAATTTTAATTGGTTCTGATTTGGATGTCACTAAGCAATTTAATTGTTCCAAAGCACATGTAGGTAGACTAGTGTGGATACCAGCCTACAAGTTTTCTTACTCAAGTCAGGCCAAATAGGACTTCTTTGCTGTCTCAAGTATGCATACCAGCAGCAACCACAATGGCTTGCCAGCCCAGATCCTGAAGAACTTTTTTTAGCCACTGGACCAAGGTTCAGCTTTGTTGTAGGGTTTTGCTGTGGGCTGGCTTCGGGTCCCTCTGCTCAGGATTTGCTCTGCCTGAGGCTCTGCGATTTCCTGCACTCAAGTGGTGTTCCACAAGATCAGTCGGACAAGTGAGGGTGTCCCCTTCCATTGGAATCCCTGCAGTTCCCATGCTCCACTTGCCACATTTTCTAATGACAAAGCCAGTTGTAGTGCCTGTTTGACGACCAGTTGGGTTTCAACTAGTAGGTGCTTCTCCATTGGTTACGTTATTAATCCCACTCTTGCCACTACTGAAATAACTGCACAGGGGCTGGTAGCCTGTCTCCAAGTTACCTTTCATTTACTTGTGCACAGTACACTGGCTGTGGCAGCCAATTCGGAGTCAGTCCCCGTAACTGAGGAGATTCTAAATCCCCTGTTTTTGTTTTTAAGAAAATTCTAAAGCCCCTGGTTGTTTTTTTTTTGGTTTTTGTTATTCTCACACTACTGCTATACAGCAGTAGTGCTTATTTTCCCCCACAGCACCCATGTTGTGTGCATATAAGTACAGTGACTTGGTGAAGACACCATTTTATTTCTACCATTAGGAAAAACACCTATTGTGGCCAGGGAACCAGTAACAAGCAACGCCTAATTGGGGCAATGCTTGCAGGAAAAAAAAGCCAAAGAATTGGTTAAGGATTAAATCAAATTAGATTTGGAGACGGAAATGAAGCACAGCACCCCCGCAGTGCCCACCTTCCCTTAAAAACATCTAGGACATTGGTGGACACGATGTGTGCCTCTCCAAGGACACCTAGGTTTCCCCATAGCTGTGGAAGAAGGGCAGATCCTCTGTTTATATTGATCAGCTAGGGCTTCCTGATTGGGTTTCTTAACCTGGGCCAATCAAGGATCTCGTAGTCACTGGCATCCACCTGGTTCCAATGACTGCCTGGGGAAATTCAGGCGCCTAGGATCTTAGCTGATAAAGGCATGGCCACCAATGGTAGACTGGCATGGTGGCTTAGTGGTTAGCACTGCTGCCTCAAAGTGCCAGGGATCTGGGTTCGATTCCACCCTGGGTCTGTGTGGAATTTGCACATTCTCCCTGCGTCTGCGTGGGTTTCCTCTGTGTAGATTAGGTGGGTTATGGGGGATGGGTCTGGGTGGGATTCTCTGAGGGTTGGTGTGGACTTGTTGGGCCGAAAGGCCTGTTTCCACACTGTAGGGATTCTATGATCAAGACCAGAGTTGGAGAGATGCAGAAATTTGAAACATTATCGAATCAGAGGAGATGACAAACGGGCAGAGGTGAGACCATGAAGGATTTGGAAATGCTGAACTGCAACATTGCTCAGCTAGAAGCCAGTGTAAGTCTGCAAGCTCATGTTGCGGCACCAATGTCTGTGCCAGAAATCATCTCCCAACATGGAGAAGATTGGACAGAAATGATTATGCTTTGGGTTTTAGGCAAAACACGAACCATGTAGTGTTCAATATTCACTGTTTTTCCCTTTTAGCTTTCTATGGCACATACTTGTGTTCAGAATAAAGATGAAGAAAAATTATTTTGTGGGGGGGTGGTGGGGAGGAGGTTCTAGATTGTTTCCATGTAATTATAATTTAGTTTGGAACTGTCACTAATGCTATTTCCATGATATTTCTACAGCTCGGAAAGGTCCGGATGGGATGGTCATTTCCAATAATTACTGTGACTTCTGTCTTGGTGGGTCAAATATGAACAAGAAAACAGGCAGGGCTGAGGAGCTGGTCTCATGCTCAGACTGTGGGCGCTCCGGTAGGTATATACCTGGAATTCTATCAAATTAACTTTCAGATGAATTCATTGACTTGATCTGAAATTGCAGCTGATTAGATCAGTTCTAGCTGCTGTCTGTACATGCTTGATAACCATGGGACCTAGGAGACACATTGTTCTGACAATGTAGCAGCAGTGAATGATTAGTGCCCTGAGGAGAGACGTGCACAGCTTCCTCTGAACTGATGTACTGTGCTGCACCAGATATGTGCCAATAGCTAAAATGCAATTCAGGTGCATTACTACCACTAGATTTTGCTGATGATAAATTAAGAACACAGGACTAGGAAAATTCAAAGCATACAAACTGAGAGAATATTAGAGTTTGCAAATTGAATGTTGAGTTTTTTTAAAAATCATGTCAGTATTGTTTTTAAAATGCTTTATTCCATGGCCTATTTGTCAAAACACTTACTTGACAAATACAGATCAGAACTTTAAATTACCAAATAATTTTAATCTTCACACTAACTCTGTGGTTGATGACTGTTAACAGTTGGTGAAATCTTCACACCTACTTGCATCAACAGTTAATTGTGTAGCGTACAAGGTATAATACAACATGTCTCCTTTTAGCTTAGTTTGCAGAGCAAAGAAAAGGCAAAACCCCATTTTAACTTTGGTTTTAAACTCTGGTTTCTATTTTTTCACTGCTCTGATATTATGATAAGTGAAAATTGTAAAAGTTCAATATTTAATTTTGTATTTTAATATTACTGTGATATTTTTAACTTTTCATTACATTTTCCCACACCAACCTAACCTTTTAATCAGTTTTAAAACAAAAATGAGGTAATTCAATCGATGTACCATTTTTTTCTTTTCCCAGTTTATACCCTTAGCTTGTGAATTTTAGCTATTGTTTTTCTGTGTTATTACCCCATCTTCACCATTCCCTAAAAATGTTTCTGAAGCTACTACTTGTTCAATTCACTTGTTGCATTGACATTTGAGGTTATGTGGATGCAAATTCGAGCCTTGTTTTGTTGTTAAAATACCTTTCAACCCAGACTGATTAGAACTGGAAAAAAAAAACGGCGTGCTCACACTAGCCAAAGACATCAAGTAAATAAAGGAAATACTGAAAAAGCTGAGGAGGCTGGTCCGCACCCAAGAGAGCAAAACATGGCAACTTTATGGGGAACCTTGCAGACATAGCCTTTGCTTAAAGCACAAGGATCAGTTTTTATTCAATTTTATTTGCTTGTCAGACATGTTGTGTAATCCCAAAAAGTTTTAAGAAAATTAAAGCAAATTGTAGTTCACCAAGAATTATAATCAAACTCCAGTGTCCAAATAGTTTTGAAAGTGACAAGCCTTCATAACTTGGAGATATCCTGAATTTCCACCAGGTGTTCTGCCAAGTATTATTTCAATATGAACAAGTCTACTTGAAGTAATTATGCAGCAAAATTTGACTGTGGTTCCAAAGATACTTGTGCTTTCTTTAAAAAAAAAATTGGTTAATTTCATTTCAGAAAATTGTTAGATTTTTGTGTTTGGTTCTGAACCAAGTAAATTAAAAGTGATTTGTGTTCTTACAATCTCATTAAATTTAACCCTTTCGCTGACTGATTTGTAACAGAAGTGGCAGGGTCTGAAGTTAAGAGTTGAGGATTCTTGCTAGCATAGATCTTGTATATTTCAGAGGTAGGATCTATGATTGATTTTTTTATTTCTTTCATTTTGTGTGTGTGTGTGTATTGCTGTACCCATGTGCTGATATGTACATCATCATACATGTTAGCTTATTTGGGACAAGGAGCCATAAAGGATCTGGACTTGCGAAGTGCAGAGGATTTGTTTGGTGCATCGTCTGAAAGTGACACTTCCACATTTCATGGCTTTGATGACGACGATATCGATGAACTGCTATCAAACAAAAGTGTTCATTCACCTGCTAGTAGTGATGCAGATAACAAGTGCAGCAGCTAATCACGTGATTGTGGGGAATACCTGCTAGCACACAAAAAAAAACACATTCGGGCGAGATTAAATAAATGACCTTGACAACAAAGAAGGCTTGTTTAGCCAAAAGGCTCCTGCTGAATTCTAGACCTGTTTTCATGTGAAACTGGGCTGTTGAAAATGAGCAGAGTCGATGCTTTTGTTTGTTCATCAGTAAAGAAGAGAATCTCTAACTCTGAAGATAATCAGGATTACTTTTGGCTCGTGATTTGTGTGTTTTTGTTTAAACAAAATAAGAGAGACATTTGACTGATCTCCCTACATTACTGAGTGAATGGGGGACACAGGGATCTGATGTACTGTGGGTGATACCACTGAGCTAAACGGACTTCCCCTTACAAAGTGCAATCAATGTCTTTAAGTCAACTAGCTCCCTCCCTCCAGCAGGCAAAGTTGTCTTGATCTACTTTTGCCGTGCACCTTACATCGAAGCTCCTGGCAAGTGGAAACGTGGTCTCCAGGCTCCACTTTACACCTTTTGCACCTGCAGTTCCAAGGTTTTGTGGCAATTAGGTTCACTGTGGTGAACTGAAGGAAGTGGAGTTTATATAAGAAAGAGAAATTTTAATTTTTTGAAGGAAAAGAAAACTATACTTTCCCATTCAGGGACTTGTACCTTTTTTTTTGTTGAGTTTTTTTTGGTCAGCTGACTTCTTCTCTGCTGCTAAAACATTCTTTTTGCATCGAATGAAGGAACCACATCAGTGGGCATGTGTTCTGATGACAGAAATAAAATGACACCAGCAACTTTTTTGATCCTGTTTATTTGAAAGGAGTTCATCATTTGCATTGCAAAGGTATGTGTACAAGATTTTTGTTTTTAATTCACTTTTAAACAGAACTTCTTAAGCAGAATTGCGTGATTTGCAGTAATGGCTTTTTTGGCTTCTTGGTTTAACACTTGTGGGCTGGGCAGGTTATGTATTCTTAATTAAAATTGCAGATGTATTGTCTTGAAATTTATTAATGCAGTGCATTTTGACCTGTAAGAAGATTCTCTAACAGCCATGCAGCCTTCTAAACAAACAGCTCTCCTCTACCATTCTTCACCACAGAATTGCCTCGATGCCGGTGGTTACCATGCAAGCCATTTCCAGGAAGGAAGGCAAGAAATGAATTGTGACCATTTCCCCAGTGGAATATTGCCTCTTTAGCACCTCTGTTATGTGACTCAAACTCAGGAAGGCCCTGAGCATGTGCAGTATGAAGGACGACTTCATTGTGAATTAGATATTTGTATTTATTAAACTGACAGCTGAGCTGCTCTTTAGCTTTTTGAACGGGAGGGGGATGTGTGGTAATATATTGAACAATTCATGTATTTGGAAATATTGAAATTTACCCAAAAAATCCTTAATATTTTGGGTAAGTCTTATTTTCCTCTCTCAAAAAGAACTGCATCATTTTTAATGATGAATGTGTTAGCTAGTTTTACTGATGAATTCTCTATAAAAACTGAAATCAACTCTGCTCAATTTTGTTGTCAAAGCCATTTGTTTGAATCTCAGTAGAATTGCTGCAAGTGGATGTGGTAAGTGTCAGGTGTGTCTATCAGATGTCTGGAAGTCTAGTCATTACTTTCTATTTATTGATTAGTTTCACTGTAATTTGCTGTAACCCCTCTCCCTGATCATTTGTGATGAAGTATTGTCACCATCAAGTGGATGATATTGTTTGTTGTACAATGTTAAATATAAAAAAAAATGATTTTCATAAAGTGGCTTTAAATGCCGCTGAGCTTATAAGATTTTTATTTGTTAAAAAAATAAACTGCATATTGGTCTCCCTTTGTCCATTTTACGTGTGGCTTTTTTCCTTAATTTCTGACTTGCTGTTTTGTACGTATCTTGAATTTGCAATTAACGTTGGTTTGAATTTTTTTTTGTGCTTGATAAATTTATAGACCTGACTAGGTATGTAGTTGCAGCATGTTATATAATAGCCGACAAATGTAATACACAGTAGCCCTGGCAGCAGCGAAAGGGTTAATGTTTAGTTAAAATGTTTTTGGACATTTTTCACGTGCTATGTCTCTTCTTGCCCCCTCTGTTCCCCCACACCACCAGTCACTTCTTTCCCTCTTTCTCTGTCTCTCTCTTTTTCCCCCTTTTTTTCCTCCCCATTTCTCCCCTCATCTCTATGTTTGTATCTCTTTTGCTGTGAATCAAGAAAGGGTGTGTAATCATCTCCTCCTGTTTGTGCATTTTCTTAGGTCACCCCACCTGTTTACAGTTCACAATAAATATGACTGCAGCTGTGAAAACGTATCACTGGCAGTGCATAGAGTGCAAGTCCTGTAGCTTGTGCGGGACTTCTGAAAATGATGTAAGTTTTCTTTTTATAATATCGTCTTGTGTAACCCAAGAATAAAGTAATATTGTTTAAAATTGTTTATCTAATTGTTTTTTGCACTCAAAGTAGCCATATATTGTTTAATTGAATAAATAAGTGTCATGGGTCTAAATCCCCAGTTTAAGAGTATTAGCTGATCCATCTTAAAAGGTGATTGTGAATTGCCACATTCCACTTTAAGAAGGGAGATTTGTTGAATTGATGGGTAATACTACTGTGAACCCATCTTCCCAGATTAAAACCACTTTTAGAGTTTCCACTAAATACTGTTTTTATTTATAAACTCTGTTGCACTGATGAATCTCTGGCAACTGTGTCATAACTATAAGCTTTCTATAGTTCTCAAATGATTCACTAGTGCTCTTGATGATCTAAGGGGCAAGTTCCTTTCACAAATTTCAGACCGGCTCAAATCCGTTAGCAAAACATTATTCATTTTTAATTGAAAACTCTGCTTTAACCTACCCTATGGGATGTGTAAAAAGTCAGCACTATTGCGTTGTGATATAGTCAAATAATTTTAAAATGGTGGAGAGGGTAGTGGAGAAAAGGGGAGATTGATTCATTGATTGATTGATTGGCATCAGCAGGACTTGAGGAATCAGTACCATCCATATATTAATCAGAATGCTATTTCCTGTAATCCCCATGTGCTCAGTGGTTTTGGGGAAATCCCAGCAGAACAACACTGTCCAAACTTACTATCTCTTTGTTATAACTACTGTAAACTATGCTTGCAGTTTTGAAAAACAGTGCATAGCTGTTCAAAAGGGCTTTAATAAAGTCAACAGTGTAGCCGTTCTGCATTTGTCAAGATAAATGGCTTGTCTATCGAATAGCTCACCACCGTTGGAATGTGAACCACATCTCTCAGGTGACTAAATTAAATGTCATAAATCTGTGATGTTTATTATGAGTCAATATAAACCCTAAAATGTATATCAATTTGTATTTTGGGGAAAAGTAAAATTTAAATGTCCTAAATGTTTAGTAAAACACTGTTGAGTTGTTTCTTTTGTTTAAAACATAGAACTGTACACAACAGGAGCTGGACCTTCAACCCACAATGTTGTGCAGAACATGAGGCTGAACTAAAAATAATCCCTTCTGCTTACCCTTGGTCCATATCCCTCTATTCTTTGCATGTTCATGTGATTATCTAAAAGTCCCTTAAATACCCCTAACGTATCTGCCTCCACACCACCCTGGAAGTGTGTTCCAGACACTTTGTGTTTAAAAAAAAGTCGCCACTCACATCTCCTTTGAACTTGCCCCCTCTCAACTTAAATGTATGGTCCCTAATATTAGACATTTCAACTCTGGGGGGAAAGATCCTAAATGTCAACCCTATCTATCTATCTCCCCTCAGCCTCCACCACTCCAGAGAAAACCACCTGAGTTTTTCTAGCTTTATAGCTCCTTTACAGGAAAAGGAACGGCACAGTGGCACAATAGTTAGCACTGCTGCTTCACACCGCCAGGGGCCCTGGCTCAATTCCACCCTGGGGCGATTGTCTGAGTGGTGTTTGCACATTCTCCCTGTGTCTGCGTGGGTTTCCTCCAGGTTCTCCGGTTTCCTCCCACAGTCCAAACATGTGCAGGCTAGGTGGATTGGCCATGCTAAATTGCCAATAGTGTTCTGGGATGTGTAGGTTAGGTGAGTTATAGGGGGAATGGGTCTGGGTGGGATGCTCTGAGAGTCGGTGTGGACTTGTTGGGCTGAAGGGCCTGTTTTCACACTGTAGGGAGTCTAAGTCTAAGTCATAGCTCATACCCTTAATCCAGGCAGCATAGTGGTAAATCTCTCCTCAACTTCTTCAAAGCCTCCACGTCCTTCCTGTAATGTGGCGACCAGAACTGCTGCAGCATGACGTGCTGACTTTTGTACTCAGTTCCCTGACCAATAAAGGCAAGTATGCCATACACCTTCTTTAGCACCCAATCTACTTGAATGGCCACTTTTAGGGAGGTAGGGACTTGAACACCAAGATCCCTCTGTACATTTGTGCTATTCAGGGTGCTACTATTGACTGTATTCTTTTCCTTAACATTTGATCTCCCAAAGTGCAGCACCTCACATTTAACCCAGATTAAACACCGTCTGATTTCTCCACCTATGTCTGCAACTGATCTATATCCTGCTGTATCCTTTGACAACCTTCTATACTATCCACAACTCCACTGATCTTTATATTGTCTGCAAACTTACTTATCCACCCATCAACATTTTCATCCAAGTCATTTATATATATCACAAACCAGCATGGATCCCTGCCGAACACCACTACTCACGAACCTGCAGCCAGAAAATCACCCTTCCACCACTACCCTCTGCCTTCTATGGGCAAGCAAATTCTGAATCCATGTGGCCTGCTCACCATGGATACCATGCATCTTAATCTTCTGGATGAGGCTACCAAGGCTACCTTCAAAAGCCTTACTAAAATCCATGTAGACAACATCCACTGCTCTACCCTCATCGATTACCTTTGTCACCTCCTCAAAAAATTCAATCGTTAGTTAGACATGACCTGCTTCGCACAAAGCTATGCTGACTGTTAACAGCAAGTCATTACCAAAATAAAAGCATGTTTGAAATAGCTCTGACACAAATTTTACTTAAATGTGTAAACTGGCACCCTAAAATAATTGTAGTGAAAGCATTTGCTCTGCTAGTTTAAGTTTGATAACAACATGGAGCACTCAATTTTCTTTAGTTTTTTTATATATTCACCCGAAACCAAACAAGCATGTGTGTTTGTGTTTTCTCATTTGATGTTCTTGAACGTGCTAACAATTCCAGTCCAAATCTTGTTCCTCTATGGCTTAATAACTTCCTGTGACTGTTCCAGTGAGCTGAAACAGTGAGTGTCAGCTAGGTTGTTGCCTGAGGAGATTGTAAGAGCCAAAACTGGTGGTGTTACCTGGATTTCATAAAGTATATTTAAAGCAGGAATGGAAATCCTGGCCAGACTGACTGACTGACATGGTTGTACGTGAAAAGGTCAGAATTCAAGCTAACATCTTCCACCTGTTGAGGTTTGCTTTATAATCTACTGTTTCGGGAGATGGTTAGGAATGTAAATACGTTTGACTGTAAGACGGACTAACCAGGTCTTAAGTCCATTTTCAAAGAAAGAGACAAAAATTAAATATCAGAAAATTTCTCAAAAATAGCACCAGTTCAGTAAGGATGAACAAATGATGACACTTCATTGGCCTATTCAAGGAGCAATACTTGTAAAACCTTCTAAAAACCTGTTAGATCCCATGAGAGAGGTGGAGATGCATGTAGTATAATAATGTCATGGAAAGTTACCTGAATAATTCTGAAGGGTTAAGCTTCTTAATCTGTTTGTTTCAAAGGCAGAAATGACTTGGATTATCCCATGGTTTTTATTACTATTTCCAGCTGTTCAAAGACAAAAACATTTCTCTAGCACTTCTAGCTCTTCAACCTATGGACTGATTTGATGAACAGCATTACGGAAATCTGGGAGATGATCAAAGACGTTAGTTTGAAGGTGCCTTTTGAAGTGCAGTTTTAAGGTGAAAGAATGTGGACTACACCAGCTGTAAGAGATTATGTTTACAAGGTACGAAGTGGCAATGCTGAAAGCAGTTGGAGAGTTTTTTTTTATAGAATCCCTACAGTGTGGAAACAGGCCCGTCGGCCCAACAAGTCCACATTGAGGTGAGACAACAAGGTGCAGGGCTGGATGAACACAGCAGGCCAAGCAGCATCATAGGAGCAGAGAGGCTGACGTTTCGGGCCTAGACCCTTCATCAGAAAAGGGGGAGGGGAAGGGGGTTTTGAAATAAATAGGGAGAGAGTGGGAGGCGGATAGAAGAGGGATAGAGGAGAGGATAGGTGGAGAGGAAACAAACAGGTCGAAGAGGCGGGGATGGAGCCAGTAAAGGTGAGTGTAGGTAGGGAGTTAGGAATGGGATAGGTCAGTCCAGGGAGGACGGACAGGTCAAGGGGGCGGGATGAGGTTGGTCGGTAGGAGATGGAGGTGCGGCTTGAGGTGGGAGGAGGGGATAGGTGGGAGGAAGAACAGGTTAGGGAGGCAGGGACGAGCTGGACTGGTTTTGGGATGCGGTAGGGGGAGGGGAGATTTTGAAACTTGTGAAATCCACATTGATACCATTGGGCTGCAGGGTTCCCAAGCGGAATATGAGTTGCTGTTCCTGCAACCTTCGGGTGGCATCGTTGTGGCACTGCAGGAGGCCCAGGATGGACATGTCGTCTGAGGAATGGGAGGGGGAGTTGAAATGGTTCGCGACTGGGAGGTGCAGTTGTTTGTTGCGAACCGAGCGTAAGTGTTCTGCAAAGCGGTCCCCGAGTCTCCGCTTGGTTTCCCCGATGTAGAGGAAGCCACACCGGGTACAGCGGATGCAGTATA